AGTTTTAAAAAGAGACTTTTCCATTTGATTACATTTTGTATGATGGATTATGCAGAAAAAGTAGAATTGGGCTGAAAGATCTATCACTTTATCACCTCTAAATCATGTTTTTAAAAAGTAACTAAGTAACTAAGTAATTTATTACTTTTGAAAATAAGTAATCAGTAAAGTAACGGAATTACTTTTTGGGGAAGTAATCAGTAATTAGTTACTGATTACTTTTTTCAAGTAACTTGACCAACACTGATTACAAACCATTCCTACCATTTTTGTGGCTAAATGGACCTCAGTAAAGAATAGTAAGGTGGTCTGAGAGGTCACTTGGGGTAGAAGAGCATGTTTACCATTTAAGTCTGTGTGTTGGAGAGCCAGCCATCCACCCAGACCTCCTCCCTTGGGAGAGGGGGGTGTAAAGTAAGCTTACATAAATATCATCCTTGCTGAGCTCAACATGTGCAGTGAAACTGGACTGGATGTTTTCTGTTGGCAGCAAAGTGCTGGATGAATTTTCTTTTGTCACAACGAAAGACTCAAAAAATGCGAGTAACATTTTACTAATACACAGAGAAGAAAGCTAATTGCAAAAACGTGGTCTGAGCGCTAGCACGCTACTGCGTAACACGTTACACCTGTGAGATCAGTCACGGTTACACGTGTCCGTTTGAAGCATCTGTCTGAAAGTTTTGTTTGTTTGTTTGTTTGTTTGTTTAACCATCATTTATTCTGCAGAAGCTTAATAACAGCCACTGGAGCATTAGCGCCCTCTGCTGTATTATACGAACACTACGTTAGTGCATTGAAACACCCATTTGTTCACATCTTGTGGATGTTGTGTTAAAGCTGCAGGTTTCAGGTTACATTTTGACCTGGACGTGTTTTCTGATGTGTGTATAGGAGGCAGCCTGTGCTTATGTCATAGCCCTCATGGCGGTATATTGGTGCACGGAGGTGTTGCCGCTGGCGGTGACAGCGCTGCTGCCAACCATCCTGTTCCCCGTCCTGGGCATCATGGAGTCCAAAGAAGTAAGACCGTGCACATACACATCGTATACTACATCTGGTACTACAACTTTACATGTACATTTATACAAATAATGATACAGAATTATCAAACTAATTTTTTTTTGTCCTGCTGCATGCTAACTTTGTATTTCCATTATTTTGTCTCCTCCTTGTTTTTGTCCAGGTGTGTATGCAGTACCTGAAGGACACCAACATGCTGTTTGTCGGGGGACTGATGGTCGCCGTAGCCGTCGAGCACTGGAACCTCCACAAACGCATCGCGCTCCGGGTGCTGCTGATAGTTGGAGTCCGACCTGCCCTGTGAGTCAGCTGAACCTAATCTGTCCCCACAGGGCTGCAGTGGAAGCCGATCACTTCCCCTGTTTCTCAGGCTTAATCCAATCCCTTCCCCTCACAGGTTGATGCTGGGGTTCATGGGAGTGACGGCCTTCCTGTCCATGTGGATCAGCAACACGGCAACCACCGCCATGATGGTTCCCATCGTCCAGGCTGTCCTGGATCAGCTCCACAGTAACGTAGACCCTGAGCATTCGGCCAAGAGTAAGAACAGGAGTGAGGCACTACCTCAGGAGCATCAGGAGAAAACCATCAGCATCCTTCAAGCTGTTAACCCAAACATGATGGAGATAGGTACTGTGAGAGAAAGATGTAGGCTTCTGGCATATAGCTACTTTCTAACCACATGGAAGCGATGCCAGAAAAAGCCTTCCTCTAAGGTACTGATAAAGTACTAAACGTACTGCATTACAAAGACAGTGGAGCACCTGTCAGGTTGGTCTATCACAGACTACATGCTAGCAGTTTTGTGAGACAGGTTTTAAAGTGGCCTTATTCTGCCTTTCCTTATTTTCTCTCATTTAACAGAACATTGAGGTAGTACAGGTGCTGCCCCTCGGCAGGCTTCCAAAAAGTGAGCTGTTAGAGAGGGTGGCCTTCAAGAGACGCTTATTTCAGACTTACCATAAATTGAGGGGGTGCATGAGTGGTCAGAATAATAACTGTGAATCACGAGGAAACTCTGGTCAAGACCCTGAATACAAAGTACAGAATAGGTCCTCGTTCAGGGAAACAGTCAGGCTGAGTCTGATAAAGTTTGCTTGAATGAAAGCATTAAAGAAAGGAAAGAGGAAGAAAAGTCACTTTGATATTGATGTGAAAACCCTAAACATGTCGTCACTAACACTGCATGAGACAGCTCAAATATTCCTCTGTAGTCTGACCCTGAGGTATTAACTTATAGGTTTGTTTTCAGGTCTGAATCTATCAACCCAAACTCAAGGCAACTCAGAGAAAACCAGCAACCTACAAGACAACATGTTGCCTGAGCATAAAGTGGTGTCACTGGGTCAGATGGACACAAAGGAGATTGTCAAACCAGCACCACAAGACAAACCTCCATCAGACAGCAGCAGCAGTCCCGGTAAGTCCACAGAGGCAAGGAAACCTGACATCTATGGGAAACAGACAGATGAGCAGATACAGAAATCACCTTGAAGAAAAGCTGTAATCAAACGTTTTTGTTTCTGAGTTAAGTGAGTCACAACCTTTGGACCAACTGTCCAAATGGCTGACGTAGACTGAGGGAGGAATGCTTGTTCTGTCACTGTTAAAGAAAAGAAGGTCATCGAAGGAATCGTAGGGCCTCTCAATATTTGCAACTTCAGAATGTTCCAAACAAAATGCTAAAGTTGTGCCGCTGTACAAAACCGGGGATAAACACCACTTCACAAATTACAGGCCTGTTTCTTTACTACCACAATTCTCCAAAATCCTAGAAAACCTGTTTAATAAACGATTAGACAAATTCTTAGATAAATATAAATTACTCTCTGACAGTCAATATGGATTCAGATCAAAAAGATCAACATCTCTGGCATTAATTGAATCAATTGACGAGATTACAAGTGCTATAGATCAGAAACAGTATGCAGCTGGAGTATCTGTGGATCTCAAGAAAGCATTCGACACAATCAATCATGACATATTAATTAATAAACTGGAACGGTACGGGATCAGGGGGGTTGTACTGCAATGGTGAAAAATTATTTATGTAACAGGAAACTATTTGTGAAGCTGGGTGTTCATTCCTCACCATGCTTGTGGTGTTCCACAAGGCTCTGTACTGGGTCCAAAGTTATTTATTATTTATATAAATGATATTTGTAAGGCATCTGATATATTAAAATTAGTATTATTTGCAGATGACACAAATATTTTCTGTTCTGGGGGGAAAATAAGGAGCTGCTGGATACAATTACATCAGAAATGTGCAAAACTGAAAAATGGTTTAACAGGAACAAACTATCGCTAAATCCATCCATCCATCCATCCATCCATCCATTCGCTACCTCTTATCCTTTTCAGGGTCGCGGGGGGCGCTGGAGCCAATCCCAGCTGTCTCGCTAAATCTAAGTAAAACTAAAATAATCTTATTTGGGAATTCCCTTAGAAAGGCACAAGTGCAGATTCATATAGATCAGGGGTCCCCAATCCCAGTCCACGAGGGCCGGTGTCCCTGTAGGTTTTAGATCTCACCCTGGGTCAACACACCTGAATCACATGATTAGTTCATTACCAGGCCTCTGGAGAACTTCAGGACATGTTGAGGAGGTCGTTCAGCCATTTAAATCAGCTGTGATGGATCAAGGACACATCTAAAACCTGCAGGGACACCGGCCCTCGTGGACTGGGATTGAGGACCCCTGATATAGATGGTGTGGAAATTGAAAGAGTACTTGAACATAAGTTTCTTGGTGTGATTATAGATGATAAATTAAACTGGAAGTCTCATATAAATCATATACATAACAAAATTTCAAGAAGTGTCTCAATTTTGAGTGAAACACATTCTGGACCACAAATCACTCCACATTCTCTATTGTTCCCTGATTGCACCGTATTTGAATTACTGTGCAGAGGTTTGGGGCAATACTTACAAATGTTTGCTATCATCAATCTTTATATTACAAAAAAGGGCCATAAGGATAATCCATAAAACTGGTTACAGAGATCATACAAATCCACTATTCTTAAAATCAAAAGTTCTAAATTGCACAGATCTGGTTCATTTTCTCAGTGCACACATTATGTATAAAGCAATAAATAACCTGCTTCCTGACAATATTCTAAAAATGTTTTCTAGAAGGGAACGGGGATACAATTTGAGGGGGAATTAAATTGAAAACATCCTCGTATCCGTACAACATTAAAAAGTTTCTGCATCTCTGTGTGTGGAGTGAAGCTGTGCAACAGACTAAGTAAAGATATGAAGCAAAGTCCGAGCAGTTTAAACAGCGGTTTAAGGATGTGGTTTTTACAGCGTACAGGGAGGAGGGAGAGATCTGATCGGCTGTTCTTGTCCAATACTTTCATGTATCATATCTGTAGGTTGTGTATCCTTTGAGGTGTTACTGGGGTTATTGAAAATGTGTATATAAATGTGTATGTATATATGTATATATGTATGGGATTATATGAGCTTATGCTTCTTCCTGCTCCTTTTTGAACATGAAAGTTATTTGTAGTTGTGGTTGCTCGTTTTCCTTTTGATTTGCTTTGTTTCTATGTTGTTGTACTTTTTCCAACATGTTCACAATAAAGATTTAATCAATCTATCTAAATGAGTCCAAATCAGAAATAAAGAGTCAAAGCTAACGTGGAGAATACATTCAGATAAATGTGAGTGTTCGCTCAGTAGCTGTTGTGGGTAATAGGTTCATTGGTTAACACTGTTAACTGTTTTCAGTGGTCGTGACCGTGGAGAGCAACTTCTGTCAGATGGAGCTGGAGGAGCTTAGTGACGTGGAGGAGGAGACGAGGAGGATGAGTAAAGGCCTCCTACTGTCGGTCTGCTACGCCGCCAGCATCGGAGGCATCGCTACCCTGACAGGAACCGGGCCAAACCTGGTCCTCATCGGACAGATGAACCAGTACGAACTCACAGCAACGGCACCCACATCATGTGACCACGTGTCCTGTGAGGCCTGACTCTCAACTTCCTGTTTCTTCCTCGCAGGCTCTTCCCTCAGAACGGTGACGTGATCAACTTTGCCTCCTGGTTTGCCTTTGCTTTCCCCACCATGGTGCTGACGCTGACCCTGGCCTGGTTCTGGCTGCAGTTCCTCTACGTGGGCTGCAAGTAAGTCATCCACCAAAACACAACCCCAACATTACTGTGACAGCTCCCACAGCTCCCACAACTCAACTTTACAGATACAAACATGATTGGGTTTTTTTGCTTTTGTGCACCACAGCCTGAGGAAGACGTGGGGTTGCGGTGCGGTCAAGTCGCAGAAGGAGCGGGCAGCATACCAGGTCATCAGGGACGAGCATTCCCGTCTGGGACCCATGAGCTACGGAGAGTTCAGCGTTCTGGCACTTTTCATCCTCATGGTGGCGCTGTGGTTCACACGAGACCCGCGCTTCATGGACGGCTGGGCGACGCACATGTTCAACTCCAAAGCTGAGTGAGTACCAGCGAAACCTTCATGAGTGCTCGCTGCTGAAGCTGTTTTAGTGTTTTGGGCGGTTCAGAGAGCGGTGCAGACCAAACCCAAATCAGTCACGTCCTCGTGCGTGGCTCCGCCCAGATCTCCACCGCCATCTCAGCCTTTTAATAAAGCAGACTAACTGAGACTCTGAGGGCCCAGCCTCCTCGGCCAACGAGCTGTGACCGGCAGGTCACTGACACCTGCTCATCCAGTGTTACCCGCTCGGCCGGGTCGGCGAGCTCTCGGCTTTAACAGCGCTCAGGGTCGGAGGGTCTGCTGCTAGCTTTCTGCCAGTGTTACTTTAGCAGCAGGAAGCTGTAACCAGGCGACGAACATCACCCAACAGAATAACATCGGAGTTTCACACAGGAGCCGCTCTATTGGTCAGATAGTGTCATTAAAAAAAGACCAGATTACTTCCTTTTTAAATTACGTCCTGTTTTATTTCCAAGGTGTGTTTTTTTTAAAATGCACTTTTCTTGTTCTGGTTCATGTTTTTAGATGAATCTGCCTCTCCACGTTATCGTAACAACTTTCTAAGCTTGTAGTTTATTCATTTGTTTATTGTGTTAAATGAAAAATATTAGAATTTGGATTTAAGTCTCATTTTCAAACTGAAAGTAGATCTTTTGTGAAGCACTGGAATGATCCTTTAAAGGGGTGTTTTGAGTTTTTTTGAGCAGAAACTCTGAGGTCCAACTTTCACGTGTTCGTCTCTGTTCCTGCAGTAATGTGAGATGGAAAGAAAGGGCCTGCCTTGGGGCAAACTCCCAGAATAAACAGGACTCAGGGGCGAGGAACAAACACTGGACGTGTCCTGGGTACAAATGCTGGACTTTAGTGTCACAGCTGCAGCTTTGACCCGTGTTACACAAATGCAGGAGGCATGAACTGAGCTCACCTCCACACCGCACATCGGGCCTAGTTAGTCTGATTTTTCTTTCAATTAAATGTTATTATCTCAGCTTTTATTATTCAACCCTTTCAGCAGCATTTGCATGATTAGTTTTTGTGAATTAAATTTTAGTGTATCAGCTGGTGATACTGGACTCACTGGTTTCCAAATTAGGTTAACCATGTATTTAATCATTAGATTATATTAATAGTTAGAAGCTTTTCCGTGTAGTCGGTTCTTTGCCTGCAGCTGCGACTCTCTGACGCCTGCACAGTGTTCGTGTTGTTGCACTTTGCAGAGTTTCTGCGTTTGAGCAAACGTCCAGAACAAAATCACAGAAACAAGCAGCAGCCTGAGGGTTGTCACGTTTATTTGCTTCGCTTCTGCAGTATCAGAAATCATATATGTCTGACTGTATGTGAGTATAGCACAAGCTCATAAATAAGGAAGCAGAGTCTGTCTGTCTGACTCATACAGGAAGATTTTTAATCTGTAAATGTATGTTTTGTAACTTTTAGTTACTTTTGTAACTAACGTTAAAGTTGACTTTAAACCCCGACCAACACCACCACAGCTAAACACACATGCGTATTTAACCATGTGGGAAATTGGCAACACATGACATGACTTTCCTGTTCATTCATAAACTCCCGGTGGGGTCACATGACCAGCGAGAGTAGCGCAGACGTCACGCATCGACCTGTTTGTTTCTGTCGTGTTGTTGTTAAGGCCGAGACGGGAAATAAAAAAATCCTCAGTTTCTGAGAATAAGAAGAAAAATGTGAGATTTAACACGTAAACAGAAACATTTAGAATATTCAAAAACATCAATAATCAGTTTAACTGAGAAATAACACAGCTTTGTTTTTCTTGTCACTGAATTCACAGTTTAGTCCCATCAGAGCGTTTTTCTCTTTGGAGCATGAATGTGGAGACAAAGTCTTGAAGAAGCTTCCAGAAACCGTGAGCTCGTGTTCAGAGCTTTCATCATAAAACACGTTAAAATGAAGAAACAGCTGGATGGCAGATGTGGACTGAAGCTTTAGGGTTTTGTTGGAAAGCTTTTTCAGACTTTTTCCGATTTTTCTCCGAGCGGTCGCAGTTCTGGATGTTACTGAGCATCAGTTTGCAGGTTGCTGATGAAGCGAAGGAGCATTAGCCTTCAACTTTTCAGCAAAGATGAAAAATATCAATATGCTCCCAAAGAAACCTGCGAGTCAGCAGGTCTGTGTCCACCGATGAAGGCTGCAGGAAAAGCTCATAATTATTTTTATTATTGTCATTATTTCTTAGACATGAGGACTTTTTAACTCCCTCTTCCTTCTTAAGTGAAAGCCCTTCAGCTGTCATTGACTCTGTTCACCTCCCGTCTAATATCGACCGCTGAGTTCGTGAGGAGTTTCACCACAGCCGGAGGTTCGGTATTTGCACACACTCAGTGACCATGCAACCACTGGGTTTATGTTTCTACATCCACCTCCTGTGAGCTTTGTACTTTTTGACCTTTTAGGGGTTTCAGTTATTTGAAATACTGATTTGGAGACAGGAAGCAGGCCGTGCCCTGTGCCTGGTAACATCTGTGTGGAAGCAGTCAGCTGCAGGCAGACTCTGAGATCTGAATGTCTTGTTTTCACTGAAGGAAAATTCTTTTGTTGCTGCACAGTCATTGATGACGTAGTTCACTGTAGATATTTATTATAGTTATAGTTACTGAAAATAGTTGCTGCTCATGTTATTGTCAGGCTGTGACATCAGCTGAGGGCGACTGCACGTCGACTGTAAACCTGTGTAATCAGGAAACATTTCAAAATCCTCTGTTTGCACAAACCAAAGGTCCAAGGTAACCAAAACTAGACCCCTCCCCCTTCAACACCAGGTCAGGTGATTTGGCTCCTGTGTCTGGCCCAGACCTGAGTTCAAAGTATTGGTTATTGTTTATAAGTCATTAAATGACCTGGACCCTGAACACACAGCTGGGATGTTTCATGAATACAACCCTGGAATCAGGCATTCACCTGCTATGCTGTCACATCTTCTCCTCGGCAGATTTCAAACAGAAGCTGAACAGTGTTCCTCTTTCAAAGCCCCGTGACCGACTGTAGCGTTTAGAAGGTGCTAGAACCTGTTGCTTCAGTCGCAGGAAGCAGCAGGAGGCTCCGAGTTTTGTTATTCCTGTTACAGAGAATCTTATTTGCACTTTGACCGTGACATCGCGTAGTGAGTCAGTGAATAAGCATAACCATTTTGCAAAAGCTACCATGGTGATCTTGCCAGATTACAGCACAGCCATTAGAGTCCCAGATGTTCGACTCAACATAACTCTTTAAGGCTTTAATCTTCCTGAACCACCTGTGGTCTTTGCAAGTGACAGTATCTAGTTTGTTGTTTGATGCTGAGTGGATGAAAGTAGATCCTGCATTGAGCTCTCTCTGTGTCTGCAGGTTCGTCACAGATGCAACCGTTGCCTTGTTTGTTGCTGTTTTGTTGTTTGTTCTTCCCTCCGAGCCGCCGCGATACCTCTGCTCCGACACAGGTACTACAAACACACAACATGTGGATGGGACACAAAGGCAATTTATGTTCGTGATTTAAATTGTTCGTTTGATCCAATTAGAGTCTCAGGTCTCTCGAGGCCCCGCCCCTTCTCTGCTCACCTGGCAGGTGACTCAGAAGAAGATGCCCTGGAATATTGTCCTGCTGCTGGGAGGCGGCTTTGCTTTGGCCAAAGGCAGTGAGGTAAAACCTTTGAAGAGTAAACAAGGACCAATAAGACAAATCGCTCCACCAAGTGCACCACAAGGCTTTTTTACTACATCAGCCTTGATTTCTAGTTGCTGACACTTCAAAGACATTTACAGATTCCGGCCTTCTGTTACATTCTTTTATGCAGCCTTAGTTTGTATATTTTTAGAAGGAATAAACTAAAAGTACATTTTGAATAGCCAAGAGAACAACACAACTAAGACTTTGTGAGTAAATGAAAATGACGCTTCTGCTCTGTATGGGCACAGTGCAGATGGTTAGATTAAGTAAATCTTATATATATTTTGGAAAAGTGAAGACACCAGATGGAGTTTTCATTCAAAGTAAAGACCACAGAGAAACCTTTGCTTTCAGACTCAGACTGAAGTCCGGCTTTTTCTTGTTGGTTTTTCAGGAGTCGGGTTTGTCGCGTTGGCTCGGTGATCAGATGACGCCGCTCCACTCAATCCCTCCATGGGCCATCGCCATCATCCTCTGCCTGCTCGTTGCCACCTTCACTGAATGTGCAAGCAACGTTGCAACAGCAACTCTCTTCCTGCCCATCCTGGCTTCCATGGTACCAAAAACACAGCCAGCACAGACTGTCTTTGTTTATTTGCAGATGTTCCTACAGGTGTTTCATATCATAAGGTGACAGAGAACAGAAGGAGCTTCACCCTTGAACCACTAACAGACTTTTATTATGATACATCTAAACAGGAAGTGTTGAAATGTAACAGGAAAAAAGCCATTGAAGCCAGTTCATGGGTAAAGTTGATGACTCTGTTGTTTTCCCAACCCAGTCCCAGTCCATCAGCTTGAATCCTCTGTACGTGATGATCCCCTGCACCCTCAGCGCCTCCTTCGCCTTCATGCTGCCAGTGGCTACTCCACCCAATGCCATTGTGTTTTCCTCCGGTTTCCTCAAAGTGTCCGACATGGTGAGTTCTTCATTTCTTCCAGTTGGAAAGAAATAATCATTCTGATTCATTATGTCATCATAGCCT